ATATATATATATATATATATATATATATTAATTTTTAATCGTTCACGAAATATATTTTATAAAAGTTTGATTTTTTTTTCTTCTGAGTTTAGCCATGAACAATAAACTATAAAATTTTGAGTATTCAATAGTTTGACAGCTATTGTAGGTTTGTTATTGTGTGTTACATACTTGTTACAGATATTGATTTGTTTCTATTTCCGCCTTAATTGTTCACAACATAAATTTTCTTATTCAACAGATGCTAAGGTGGTCGTCATTAATTTTTAGGAGTGGGAGTTAAGGTTAGTTTTAGTCTAACTAAAAATACTTAACTAAATTTTTAGTTAAGTATTTTTAATTAGACTAAAACTAACCTTAGTTTTAGTCTAACTAAAAATACTTAACTAAAATTAGTTAACTAACTTATTAGTTAACTAAAATTAGTCGACTAACTTATTAGTTAACTAAAATTACGCGACTAACTTTTTAGTTAACTAAAATTACGCGACTAACTTTTTAGTTAACTAAAATTACGCGACTAACTTTTTAGTTAACTAAAATTACCCGACTAACTTTTTAGTTAACTAAAATTACGTGACTAACTTTTTTTAGTTAACTAAAACTACCCGACTAACTTTTTAGTGTAACTAAATTTAGTCGACTAAAGCAAGATAAAGTGCTTGAAAAAAAAAAAAATCTTTCGTATAAAAATTTTACACTTGAGGAAGCATTATTAAGGCGATAAATATTATTTTATCGTAATTAAACACTTTACTAGTAGTGAATCCTAGAGCCCAGTCAAACTAAACTGTTATTCAAAAGAAATGTTTTAAGCAAAATTCGATTATTTTTATTTTTTCCCAGCTCTGAGACAACTGCTTATGAAGTTGTTGCAACTGTTTATAAACACCCAATCAGCATGGAATATACAAATAATGCCCTTTAGTCAATTAAATCAAATTTGGTACGCTCATTGAACGTTTAACTTATATTTTTTATGTGCTGCTTCCTATAGGTAGTGCGCAATAATAATCGCACATCAAAAATAATCTCTCCTGCCAAGGCCGTACCGACGTGAATATGGGCACCTTCCCAGGGTTACAACATTCTGTCGGTTTTGTCGGTAATTTAGAAAATTTGAGACTCGTTTGGTTAAAACTGCAGCTTGGCTTTTAAATAAAAAAAAGCCCTACTTTAGTGAGATTTTTATGGTAAAAAAGCTTATTTCATTTGCACCCCCTCCCCCTACGTCTTCGTTGTTCAGTACAGCCCTGTCTCCTGCCATATTATAGGAATGGATTCAATCTCTAATTTTCACAACAAATCTATGACTCCCCCTCCCCACCCCTTCAAATATCAACCTCTCCTAACAACTATTACAACCCGCAAACACTATAGTAAGGTAGGCAAAAGTATTGACATGAACCCAAAAGGAAATCGTTAAACAAGTTATTATGAATTTATATATTGCTTTCAGAGTATAGTTGTTCGTCGGTTGGCGATACTTGCAAAATTTAAAAGGAAGATTGGTATTTGTATTTTTGAATGCAATATCCGCAATATAAGTTGTTGAATAGTGTATAAAATGTATTAAATAATACTTAACTGTTGAATAAGGAAAACATTTTATTAAGTAACTGTAAAACCAGGAAATTGTTTATGACATTTTAATTACTTGAAAAATGCAATAACGTAGTTTTTAAGCACTTTAAAATACGTGTAAAACCGGGTCGAAACAATTATCAATTTAAATTCAATAACTTTTTTATTATTTTTATTTTTATATTTTTTCATTAGATAGATGTTTAAAAAAATACTAAAGAATATATAAATAAATATTAAAAAAAAAAAATCAAACTATTAAAATAATAAAGGTAAAAAAGTTTGCTGTTTTAGGCAACATTATAATAAAACCGCACGCTCAAGAAAATTAAAATCACACATTAATTTTTTTAATTTTCAAATTTTTCTTTATCTTTTTTTTTAAACACATTTTAAATTTAAAAAAACTATATTAATTTTTTTAATTTTTTGTATCAAAAAAAAAAAAAAATCAGTTTTACACAAAAGAGTTCGAATACTAAATTACTAAACTAAATACTAAATACTAAATACTAAAATACTAAAAAATACTAAATTCATTCTGTTTCGCTTTGCTTACTAAGTGTTTAATGCGTCAGAGAAAAGGTGTTCACTTGTAGCAGGCGTACATAAAATCATTGTTGAAATACAATACATTATTGGAAATACATGTTAATTTTGATACCAAAAGTTTAAAAACATTTTGCTCATTTACTGTCAATTTTATATAACCATTTTTAAATCTAAACTTATTATTTTGTTTCCGGAAATATCATCAAATGATAACTTAAATTTTTTTAATTTGATTGTCACCTTTTTAAATGAAATTATATCACAAACTTTTTTTGTTTAATGAAATTTCGACAAAAATTCTCTAACGCATTTAAAAAATTTTTTTTCCTTGTACTTTTCAAAGAATTGAAAACTTTTATAACTTGGATCGAAAAAAGTGGCACATAATAAAACCGAATTATTGTAATATACTGTAGCTTACAGGGCCGGCACAACTAGGTAACACCTAGAAAGTGCCGTTAAAATTTTACTTACTAGAAAAAGAAAAAAAATTCTTGTTTTTTTAAATTTATCAAGTGACTGTTCTGAAAATCTACATTTGCCAACTTACTTATCTAAAAGAGTCAAATTGGCTTACTAAATGAGCTAAAAGTTCATTGATGGGATGTCACACACGAAACCAACCAACCCATCCTTACACCCCTTTGCGCTGGCCTTGGTAGCTTATTCAATTCTTATAGATATTTGTGTTTTAACATGTTTACTTTTTGGATTTTTTATGAAAAATTTTCTTGAAGTATCTTGTTTATAATATTTTCTTGAAGTATCTTGATACACTGATACTAAACGTTTGGAACTGAAAATTGAAAGAAAATTATTTTGATATTTTTTTATTTTTGCGGTATTATGCGATAAAATGATTATGCATTTGCAATCTTATTCAAAAATTCTAATAGAAATGATATCATGAACCCAAATTATTTATATTATATATTTATAAAATTCTTTAGTTGGACTAAAAACAAAGTCGCGTATATTTAGTTAACAAAAAGCTTAGTCGGTTAATTTTAGTTAACTAAAAAGTTAGTCTGGTAATTTTAGTTAACTAAAAAGTTAGTCGGGTAATTTTAGTTAACTAAAAAGTTAGTCGGGTAATTTTAATTAACTAAAAAGTTAGTCGGGTAATTTTAGTTAACTAAAAAGTTAGTCGACTGATTTTAGTTAACTAAAAAGTTAGTCGACTAATTTTAGTTAACTAAAAAGTTAGTCAACTAATTTTAGTTACGGTATTTTTAGTTTAGTTAGTTACAATTTTTAGTTTTGGTCACAACACTAATTATTTCTATATGCTGTGTAAAAATACTTTTCGATATGAAACTTTAAATTTAATAAATGTATTTTATATTGATCGGTTTTAACAGAATTTTTGCCAAAAGCGCCTTTTTTTTTATTTTAGATTTTTTTTTTCAATAATGTGAGTTTTTGCATTTTCCATCATATTAAAATTAAATGGTTAAGTAATTTGAAAAAATAATTCGTAAAATAATAATAGAAAAAATAATAAAGTATTTTGATTTTTATCGTTTGGTGATTGTTTTGACCTGGTTTTACTCAATTAATTTCATATTGATCACTTGTTCATTCAATAAAATACTATTCATTTTTGACTTTTAATCATAAGAATAACGAAAAAACAAAGAAATTTATTCCAATATAAATTTTAATTAAAACATTTGAATGCAGGTAATTATGTAACTGTAATGAAATTGTCAATTGTGTAATTGTATAATAATGTGTAATTATATAATAATTATATAATAATGGATTATAAAATTATAAAACAATGTATTATATAATGTTATGTATAAAAAATATATACCAAATAATATAAATGTAATTATTGTAATAATGTAATAAATTATAATTATTATCATTATAAATATGTCGTAATTAATTTAAGTTTTTTTTTTTTTTTTAATATGAACTGAATGAGCTGAATATTAAATATTTTTGTAATATTTTCTTCAAACATCTAAGAATATTTTATTCTTTTTTATTTATATTTTATAAAACGTTTCGTTTAATTTTTCGATAAAAAGCGCTTCTTTGTTATGGAGCAGAACAAGATCCATTTTATTTGGTTGATATTTTTTTATTTTTCTTAATTTTATTTAAGTACCCCAAGAAGTCCTTACGGTCTTATCACAGAGCATCTCGGATGAGCATTTAATTGGAAGTTCACGCCTCTTTCCTAACCGATGTCGCAAAACTTGCTCAGGAAGTTGAGCAAGTTTTGCGACATCGGCTGCGCCACGGCTTCTCTAATTCTAATTTATTGCTTAAGTGTTTAAGTTCATATTTGAAAAAAAGTTATAAATTTTAAGCATAAACAAAATTAGTATTGTCAATAAATACAATACTCATTAAAGCTTTATTTAAATCAAAGAAAAACCAAAAAAAAAAAATAATAAAATAAACCAAAAAAAAAAGCATTTCTGTAATTTCTGTGGGAGACACCCTATTTTATTTCAGCTAATTTTAATTTTAAAAACCAACTTCATTGTTGACAATTTGCAACCTATTTGACAAGTAACTTTTATACCGTGTTAACAATTCGCTATTTCCTTAGAATTTTAGTTTTTAAGAAGAGCTTTATAATCTACACTCTAAAAACAGTCCGTTAAAAAAAGTAACGGATTGCGCTTTTTTGTCAAATTAACGGATTAATTCGTTACCAAAAACCAGAAAATTAACGGACTATTTACGGATTCTTTGAAATTTCGTTAATTCAACGGATTAAATATTCTAATCGGTCAAAAAAAAATTTCAGTATTAAAAAATTTTATTTTGAAAATGATACAGTTTTGAATGCGTTTTTCTCACATTTACATTTACATTGTAGATAAAAGTTGGTTGCAGTAAGTGTGATATGCCATTTTTTAAAAAGCTTTACATTTAGTAGACAAAGCAAATGGATAAATATAATTTAAATTACGCTATGTTATTTCGAAGGTTATTTAACTTATTTTAAATTTTCTATATAAAGCTTTATACAGAAAATTTAACAATAAGGTTTATTTTATTTTAAATTAAAAGCCATTAGTATTACTAATTAATATATAATAAAATATATGGTAAGTTAATACATATAATATATGGTAAGTTACTACATGTCTAAATCTAGAAAATTATGCAAGAATATATGCAATCCATATAGTCTATATTATAGAAATAAAAGTTCAACTAATCCTTTACTAGTAGTAAGGGGTTAGTTGAACAATTATTTCTATAATATAGACTAAATGGATTATTTATAGTCTTGTTTAACTTTATATTTTAGACATGACATGTAGTAACATACCATTTTAGTTTAAATCAGTTGTAAAATTAAAAATGTTAACATCTTTGATAGGTATATTTAATTAGGTTAGTTACAGCTAAGTTTACATGGCTAGTTAATATGCTTTTATAAATTGCAATTTTTATTAATTTCCAAATTAAACATGTGGCATCCAATATCATAAACTAAGATTATACTGGTGTGTTTATGTTATTTTAGAATTTTTTGTTTTAGACACATGGTATTTTTTATCCTGCTGTAAGTTAAAACTAGTTGTAAAATTAAAAAACTTATATTGGAACTTCTTTTTCTTTTAACATTCATGTTTATTTATTTATACTATCTTAGAATTTGCTGCTTTAGAGGCACGGCATTTAGTGTCACATTTTAGGTTTAAATTGGTTGTAGAATTTAAATTGTAACTTGCATATTTATTTAGTTGAGTTTAATCTAAATTTATATCTGATGTGTTTGTATTATTTTAGAATTTACTGTTTTAGACACGTGGCATGTGGTATCCCACTGTAAGTTTGAATTAGTATATTAAAAAAAAAAATATTTTAACTTGCATTTTTTTTGACGTTCATGTTTATGTAATTAGATTACAACTAAGTTTGTGTATGGCTTGTTTATATTATTTCAGAATTTGCTATTTTAGACACTTGGTATAAGCTGTCATACTGTAAGTTTAAATTGGTTGTAAAATTTATATTGTAACTTGCATTTTTATTGGCATGCATATTTATTTAGTTGAGTTTGAACTATTAATAATAATAATAATAATAATAATAATAATAATAATAATAATAATAATAATAATAATAATAATAATAATAATAATAGCAATAATAATAATAGTAATAATAATAATAACAATAATAATAATAATAATAATAAGTTTATATCTGGCGTGTTTATATTATTTTAAAATTTACTGTTTTAGACACGTGTCATGTGATATCCCACTGTAAGTTTGAATTAGTAAATTTAAAAAAACTGTATTTCAACTTGCATTTCTTTTGGCATGCATATTTTTTTAGTTTATTAAGACTAACTTTATATCACACTTTTTTAACTATTATTCTACTATATTTTATATTTACTATTATTTTAGAATTAGCTATTTTAAACATGTGACAAGTGGTATGACACTGTAAGTTTAAATAAGTTGTAAAATTAATTTTTTTATATAGTTACTTGCGTTTATTTTGGTCTGCATATTTAATCTTGTTTTGATTTATCATAGTTTTTAAAAGGTTATCAGATAATGTCAAGGTAATCTTATACTTTTTTTTTCAATTTACATTTTAATAAAGATATAATTTACTTGTTCCATTTAACTTTATCTTTAAAAAACGATATCAGAGATAATTAAAATAACAAAATTTAGAATAGAAATTTATATATAATGAATGACCAAAAACATTTTCTATAGTGCTATCAGTAACATTTTATTTTGGTTCTATACTAGGTATGTTATTAAGTTTCCATATTTTCCTTATTTTATTTTATATTAATCTTTAAGGAGTTGACAGCATGGTGTCCAATTAAAGTGCGAACCTGTGTACGAGTAACAACAGTATTCAAAACCAAAACCTATTTAAACCAACCAAACCAAAACTAGCGACCAAAAACTATCTTGGCATTGGTTTATTTTAAACATCTAATATATATATGTGTGTTTTTTATATAAATGTTCTAGCTTGAGTATAGTGTATTAAAAAAAATTTTCATGTATTTTCATTGTAATTTAAAGCATATTGGATTAAATATTATAAATATTTGATTAGTTTTCAATTTTTGATTAAAACGTTTTAATGTAGAATATTGAAACAAAATAATGCAATTAAATAAAAATGCAAACATTAACAAATATAAGGATTATTTGGTTATGAAGTCACAATTCTGGCCTCTCTAATTTTAGATTTTAGTGATTTTAACGAAATAATCACTAAAATATCTTATTAACACATTTATTTCACAGGAATAATAACCGCGGAAAATTTGCTGCCTAGTGTAATAACTCCTTAATTTTAACGGATTATTCGTTGCACTAACGAAATAAATCCGTAAATTCAACGTACTATTCCTAACGGACTTCAATTCGTTAAAATTTTAATTCGTCAACTTAACGGATTTCCCGTTAGTGCAATAGCGACAGATACAATTCGTTGTATATAACGGATTTTTTCTTAGATTGTACTGTATCGAATGTTTTCGATAGATCAATAAAGATTATATATTTACTTGCTCGGAAAGACTTGTAGTTGTAATATTTTTTCACTTTCATTACCAAAAAATCAAAAATTTTTTACTTTTTAGCTCTTTCTCTATTAAGCAAGAAACAACGAATCTTATTTATACTGATTTGTTTTCGTTAAAAAATATTTCTTCCCGAACTTATGGCATTTCAATTGTAAGTCTTCCTATATGTTTTTATAATCTTTTTAACAGCAGATTTAAAAATTCCCAATAACTTTTGCAGCTAATTTGTAGTTCCATAATGGAATTTCTTCTTGATCATGCAAGAATGTTATCCAATTTTCAACCAGTTTTGGTGAAATTTTAAAAAATTATAATTTCAATTTCTACTTTTTGTTGTTTTTAGACAGTTTCATTACTTAAAATATAGCCATTTTTATTTTCTTTTATTTTTAATATATTTTTTTTTTTTTTTTTTTTTTTTTTTTTTTTAGTGTAATTTATTTCGCCGTTAAAAAATGTTTACATTGCATATACATTTATATAAATTGATGGCTGGAGCAAGAAGAAGGCACATTTCGCCTTATCGCCGAGCCCCATTAAAAATTCTACATAACCGTAACATACAAATATATATATAAAAGTAACAATTAGAAATGAAATAGAAAATAACTAATATAATAAAAAAAATAAAAAATAAGAATTAATTAAGAAGCGTTAAGATGCTTAACAGTTGCTAAAATGTTTAAGAAATAAGTTAATATAAAAAAAAAAAAAAAAAAAAAAAAAAATTCCTGAATATAAAAGAAATTGAAAAAATAAAATCTCATAATTAACACTAAATGAATATGTAACATCATCACTTATGACATCATCACTTGTGACATCATCACTTGGATTTCTTATTCTTTTTTTTTCTTTTTTTTTCTTTTTTTCCTTTTTCTTTCTTTTCTTATTCATATTATCATATATCATTGATATAATTGAATCTGCTTTTTTTTTTTTTATTTTTATTGTGTTTACTTTAAAATAAACATTTAAAGTCGGATTTATTGAGATCCATGAACAATAATAATCGTTTTGATTCATCCTTAAATTGCTCTAATGTAGTCTGCTTTTTGTTAACAATATCTGGAAATTTCTTCCACAGATAAGGTCCGCGGTATTTAATTGAATAAGAAGTTAATTTTAATTTATGTTTTGGAACAACAAAATTGTTTTCTGAAAACTTTGTTGAGTACCTATGGTTAATTTTATTAAAATAAGATTGAAATATTTTAGGAGACAACTCCTTTTTTGTTTTAAACATAAACAATAAAACTTGGTGTAAATTGAGTTTATATACATTTAAAGCGCCGAGCACACTTAGAAGTGGTTCGCAAGGAACATTTCTGTCGGCTCCAAATACTATTCTACATGCATGTTTTTGTTTATTGTAGAGTTTCTTTAGTTTTGTATGGCTAGTACTAGCCCACACAACATTACAATAAGACAAATAACTGTGAATAAAGGCGAAATATAATTTTTTCAGAGATGATATATTTAGAAAGGGTTTAGCCCTAAACATCATTGCAATATTTTTTGAGATTATTTCTTCAATGCTATTTATATGTGAACACCATTTTAAATTTTCATCCAATTTTACTCTTAAAAAGTTTATGTAAGATTCCCTTTTAATATAAGTTTTATTAATATTAAGATCTGGTAATTTAAGAGGAATATTTTCTTATTTATTTACTTTATGGAAAAGCATATAATTTGTTTTTTCCGCATTTAGTGAAAGTTTATTACTTACGAACCATGCACTAACATTACATAACTGTTCGTTAACTATTTTAAAAAGTGATTTAATATCTCTGTGAGAACAAAAAAGATTTGAATCATCAGCAAACAAAATTAGGTCTAAAAGATTTGTTGATAGGTATAAGTCGTTTATGTACAATATAAATAAAAGTGGTCCTAAAATAGAACCCTGAGGAACCCCGCAAGTTATGGAGTGTGGAATTGTATTATTTTGATTATAGTATAAAAATTGCTTTCTGTTAGTCAGATAATCTTTGAACCAAAGTAAGTTTTTATTTTTTACACCGTAGTTTTCGAGTTTTTTTATTAGTATATAGTGATTTACGGTATCAAAAGCTTTTGACAGATCAATGAAAACTCCTAATGTAAAATAGTCATTATCTAAGGCATTAGATATTTGATTGGAAAGTTCAACTACTGCGTGTTCAGTGGAATTTTTTTTTTTAAAACCAAATTGTTTACAATACAACATGTCGTTCTCAGTTAGATGATTATAAAGTCTGTTATACATTATTCTCTCTAGCAATTTTGAAAAACAAGGTAAGATTGATATAGGCCTGTAATTTAAAATATTTGATTTATCTCCAGATTTAAAAATTGGTGTTATACGGGCAGTTTTTTAATTTATTAGGAACAATACCTGACTTTAATGAGAGATTGAAAATGTGAAATAAAGAAAGTTCAATGACTTCAAATACTGATTTGTCAACATCAACACTAATTTTATCAAAACCTTCACTTTTTTTACTTTTGAGACTGCTAAATGCAGTTCTCAACTCACTCAGTTTTAAATCAGTTTCATCCATAAGTTTATCATAAGTTTTTAAGTATGAATCTAATGGAATGGAATTAGTAGAAATTTTAGCAGCCAAATTCGGGCCAATATTAACAAAGTAGTTGTTTAGTTCTTCAGCTATAATTGATTTTTCATAAACTAATTCTCATTAATTAAAAGATTTTTTGGCAGAGTGCTTTTGTTATAATTATTTTTTCCAATTAAATCCTTAATTAAATTCCATATTTTTTTAGTGTTTCCGTTGGTTTTCTTTAATAATTGATCATAAAATAGTTTTTTTGAGTATTTTTTGGTTTTTTCAAATATATTTTTATAATTTTTGTAAGTTATTTCATTTTTATAAGTTTTTTTTTTAAGATATTTTATATATAATTTTTCTTTCTTTTTTGAAAATTTTACTAAGCCTTTAGACATCCAGGAAGCTTGAAGTGACTTGGTACTTATGACTTTTTTTATTTCTGGAAACGCTATTTCATATTGTTTGCAAAATTGATTAAGAAACAAGTCATATGCATTGTTAGCCTCATTTGATTGCAGTACTAGATTCCAATCAACACAATTTTTTAAACAATTTTTAAATTGTTTTAAGGAGTTTTCATTGATCTGTCGCCGAATTATTATGGATTTTGTGGAAATATTGTTAATTAAAATGTTATTTGTAGCTAAGAATGTAGGAAAATGATCCGATAAATCGGTCTGGATTATACCTGTGTAAAGAGGGTTATTATGAAAGTTGTTAGTTATGATGTTATCAAGTAGAGTAGAAGACCTATTTGTTAGAAATTGTACTCTAATTTTTACATATTATAACATTACATATTATAACATATTACATACATAAATTGTACTCTTATTTTACATATACATATATTACGCACACACACACGCACACACACATACATATATATTGTATATGAATAGAACTATGTATTTATATACATACTTAGTTTCAGCATCCGTGTAAAACTAATTCATTTGCAATTTCGTTTTGTTTATGTATGTATGTTTATAAATTATTTTTGGAAGGGAGTTATCTAACGTTTTCTAAATAGTTTTTTATTTTTAATTTTCTACGAAGTTTTTTAAATAGATGTTTGTAATTTTTATATTTTTTGATTGATGATTTTCTTTTTAAATATTTTTAAAAGTTTCTGCTTTACTTCTGACAATTTTCTATTCAAAAGTCCTTTCGGAATAATTTTTTTTACATAGTGAAAAGTTTGTTGCAAATTCTTTCAAAGCTGAAATATCTAAAGTTACTGAGGAGATATACTGCTTTCTTTTGCTTAATTAATTATACAAAACAAGAATTCGAAATAATATTTTTAATTTTGTAAAGCAACTCATATCTTACAATATCACCAATATTTAATGCAATATTACAATATCACCAATATTTAATGCTTTAATGCTTTTTTCTGGCTACCAGATTTTACTTAAGATTTCATTTTGAATTCAACTGCACTTTCACGCTTTTCAGTTGACTGCTGTGTTGACTTTTTCAAGTTTTGGGCTAAATCAAAGTTTGATGCTCTTTCAGTTTTAATTAGTATCTTTTTAATGAGAGCATTCCAAGAAGCTTTTAAGCTAGAGTATGTTGGATTCGAAACTGTAATAACTGTACTTTAACAACTATTTCATTTTGTAACAATTGTTTAAACTATTTACTTGTAAGGAAATTACATTATTGATTATTGTCACACTTATTAAACTAATGATACTTGTCATACGGGTTGTTTTATTTTAAAACAACCCTTCAACCTAATTAGTCATTCAGTTAGAGTAATTTTCCTCGGACTGGCCCTCCAAACTTTGTATTGGTCAGATATCTTAGTAAACTTATCTAAAATTTTTAAGTCAATTATCTTTGTCAATATAAAAAATATTTGGTTTTTTCACAGTTGTTCTGTTTTCAGATAAATAAATATTTATCTGAAAACAGAAAAAATTCTAGGAGGAGGTTTTTTCTTCCTTATTTATTTTAAAAAAACGGTTAAGAAACCCTTCTTAACCATTTTTTTAAAATAAATAAGGAAGAAAAAACCTCTTCCTAGAATCGAAAGTTATTACACTGGTAATACCACGTACTTTACTTAAACAACGGAGGTATATTGAATTATTTATTACGAAGCTTTTGATAACGTCGCTGAAACAATAACAACTCGGTTGTTTACCGAAATATGCAATAAGTTTTCATGAATGCACTTAGCGGTGAATTTTATAACAGAGAACTAGATATTGTTTTTGAAGTATTTGAAAATGGTTTTTAAAAAGATGAACTGATTTCTAAATTGTAAAACCTTAGGTTCTGCTTGAAAGAAGCAGTTGTAAGTACAAACAAATTAGTTTCATTTTTACAAAACTTAAGTAAGGCGGTTTATGCCTCAAGTTTTTATTTTGGCCGAGGTTCTCCTGGTTATGTCTGCAACTAATTCCGTAAGCGAAAGATCATTTTCCGCTTTCTAATGCGTAAAAATCTTCAATCAACAATAACTAACATACGCTTGAATCATATTATATTATCAAATATTCATATAGATGAGACTGATATAATAAATATGATTGAAGTTGCGAAAGAGATCGTTGATTGAAAAGAAACACGCTTAAACGTTTTTGGAATATCCAATACGTTTTTGGAATATCCAATATTTGGATAATCCAAATACGACTTTCTCTGTCATGACTTAATAAACCTTATGATTTTGCTTGCAATGTATAATAAAAGGAATTTTTCTTTTATATTTTACTTAATTTAAAAGATAGAAAAGGTAAATCCACAGTTTTTTATGTTTAGGTGAATTTGCTAACATGTTTAAGTTGATCAACTTTAACATGTTAGCAAATTCACCCAAGTTAGCAAGTTAGCAAGTTTTACATATACTTCCTTAATATAAAAAAGAAACAGTACAGTTGTCTCATTGCCATTAAATTTAGTTTAAAAACCACAAAATCCTAATAATGACTTCCCAAGTGTTAAAAGGTCAAAAATTTCACCGACCATAACTTAGGAACTACAAATATTAAGAGAAAAAAAACTTACAAGCTTTTTTTTAACTTATCAGTATTATTATATAAAAAATTGAGCGTGATTGAAGAGGACCACTTTTGAGCATTGCCTGATTTTCCCAGAAAATGGTTTTACCGCTCATATAAAATTACCTCTCATATAAAGATTCCTAATAATTTGCGAATACTTTAAAATGAAATATAGCATTTTTTTTTTACGGAATCGCCCAAGGTTTTTAAGTTTAAAGTCAAGTTTCCACTTATCCGTTTTTCTACGGGAACGAAAAAAATAATCACGTGAGCGTGCGTAATAAAAGTTTTTATTTGTCTAAAGGAAAACTGCGTATGCTCATGTGATTTTTTTTCCGTTACCTATCCCGTCCCGTAGAAGAACGGATGAGTGGAAACTCTCCTTAACGCTCTTTAGGATGATTCAAAAAAAAAAATTTAAAATTTATTTAAAATCTTTTTTTTAAACCATTTTTTTGAATCATTTTTTTAAATCTTTTGTTTTTGAATCAATCAAAAAAAAAGATTTTAAATATATTTAAAATCGTTTTTTTGAATCATCTGCGCTTTATTGAGTATTAATACTCAATAAAACGCAGACAGTAAAAGTTATTGTAAATATTAGGAAGATAATGGCTATTATAAATATTAGGAAGATAATAACATCAATAGTCTGCGTTTTATTAAAAAGTCAAAATCTTACTTAGGATCATTCTCAAAAATCATTATTTTGTCAGTAAATTGTTATTATTACATGACAGTAAAATGGAGTTTTATTCAGACTTTATTCGACTTTTATTCAGCAAACATGCAACCTTATAAAATAATTAAAATATTCAAATCAGACATTGTAATTTTGTCAATTCAGGAGTTCAGGATTAATTTTAGTGGCTTAGCCAAAATTAAATGTCTGATTTTATTGAACATTTGAGCGAAACATAGCACAACTAACACCAAGTATAATATATATATATATATATATATATATATATATAAATATATATATATATATATATATATATATATATTTATATATATATATATATATATATATATATATATATATATATATATATATATATATATATATATATATAAATATATATATATATATATGTATATATATATATATATATATATATATATATATATATATATATATATATATATGCATATACACATACCACAATGATATTATATTATTTAAGTGTTTTTTTTTAGTTTAGAAATAACATTTAATGGACTGGTTTTGTCATTTGCCTCGTCCTTTACAGTACTGTTTTTTTTTTGGTGCATCTTTTATATTCACTACTTCAGTTGCTTTTGTATTCCAATATTATACTGTGTATAAAGTTAAAAAAAAAAAATCTCTAGTGAATTACAGTTCTGAAAAAAATCAAAATTTAGAAGTTAATTTAGAGAATAAACCTAATCAAAAAGGAAGTTTAGAAAAATTACCCAATATGGTTTTTTTAAGTAATAATAAAGAAAGTTTTTGCACATTTTTTGAAAACAAAACAGGAGAAAATGACTTTGAGCTAGATACTGAAAAAGATTTCATACCATTCTTTACTGAAGATAAACTTGAATATTTGATTAAAAAAAGTATTTTATCTCCATCTTCTAAAGTAGCTGTAGAAAATGTAGATGATGATTTTTCAGAGGAAAAGGTATTTTAATTTTTTGAATTGTCTAGAAAGAAAAAACATAATATTTTATATTTTATATTATCTTTGTATTCTTGAATAGAACTCTTTTATTCAATTTATATAAAATTGTTATATCAGAATATTTAATTTTAGTTATAATATGCAGTGGAATTTATTATCTATAGATAGATATAAATGATATATATATATATATATATATATATATATATATATATATATATATATATATCATTTATATATAAATGATATATATATATATATATAGCATTTCTGAAATTATATATATATATATATATATATATATATATATATATATATATATATATATATATATATATATATATATATATATATATATATATATATATATATATATAAATAAATGATATATATATATATATATATATATATATATATATATATATATATAAATGATATATATATATATATATATATATATATATATATATATATATATATATATATATATATAAATTATTTTTAATTACGTCAAAAATAAACTTTAAAGCTTTTATCTTTACTAATGTTTTTATATTAGCGAAATGGTTTTAAATAAACACACTCAATATATAATCTAAATATATAAATTAATAATATGAAGCAACCATATTGCCACCCGTGCTTTTATATAACTCTACTTAACTACTTAATGGTCCGCAAATAAACAACAAATACAACACCCATGTAGATGAGATCACTGAAGTACCCCCACATGATGTCAAAATCTAAATTTACGAAAAAAGTCAAGTTCCGAATATAACGTCTCTAAATACTTTCATAGAGTCTCTTTTAAATGGTTTCGTAAAAACATCTGCTAAATTTTCGTTTGATGGTACATATTCCAAGGTTATCTTTCCATTATGAATATACTCTCTTATAAAATGGTATCTTATATCGATGTGTTTTGAATGTGAATGTCTTACTGGATTCTTCAATAAAGCAATTGAACCTTGATTATTGCTTTTTATTTACACTGGTTTGTTGATATCCACAAATAAATCCTTTAGAAATTGGGTAAGGTATGCTACCTCTTGACATGTGGCTGATATTGCTATATACTCAGCTTCGCATGTTGACAGAGCAACAGAAGCTTGTTTCTTGGATTTCCATGCTATTATCGGTCCATTCTGGTAAAGACTGAAACAATAACCAGTAATGGTTCTTCTATCATTGCAGGATGCTCCTTAATCTGTATCACAAAATTCATTCAAACTAATACTTTGTTGCACTTTTCTAAAAATTAAGGAATAGTCCAGAGTACCTTTTATATATTGAAAAACATGTTTAAGCATTGTCCAATCTCTGTTATTTGGTTTCGACAAATTTTGTGATAATAATAATTTTATTAACAACAAAAAAAAGGTCAGCGCGAGTCCATATCATTGCATAAAATAAACTTCCTACCATTTCACGATAAAGTTTGTCTGAATTTATTTCGTTTTGGGGTTCTTCATCGTATGAATTTAGGTTCGTTTTACATGGTGTTATTCTAGGTTTACAATCTTCCATTCCATATCTTTGTAATACATTAGTGAGGTAAACTTCTGGTTCATAATTATTTTGTCAACACTTTAAACAAAAGTTATTCCGAAAAATATTGATATTTTACCTAAATTTTTCATTTTTTTTTTTCAAATTTTTGGTTAAGTCTTTCTTTAAAATAGTTCATGACTTAAGTGGAACTGATGGTAGTAAGCGACCAAGGTTGATATTTGACCGGGGCAGGGGCCGGGTTTGATAAAACATAGCTGGGACCGGGGCCGGGTTTTTGACCGGGGCTGCATTAATACTGATATTCCTTATAAATATATTATTGTTATTTAAAGTTCATGATATATTTTATATAAAGGTATATATATCATCTCATCGTCATCGTCATCATCATCATTATCATCATCATCATCATCATCATCATCATCATCATCATCATCATCATCATCATCATCATCATTTACATCATCATCATCATCATCATCATCATCATCATCATCATCATCATCATCATCATCATCATCATCATCATCATCATCAAGCATACAGTTGATGATAATTAAGATGATTCTGATGATGATGACAATTATCATCATCATCATCTTAATCATTGGCATCATTATCATCTTCTCTGATACACACTATAAATATAATTACTACTCTCATACTATCTCTAAGATCATTGCTTTTTTTCCTATCTTTTAAAGACATCATATATCCATCTGATCTACTTTGTTTTTTTCGGATGAAAGAACAAACAAGCCAGCAACCTGGATATTCTAGAAAAGTCAGTGGCCATCATGTAATAAATTGATTATTTGAAATTTTTAAACAAAGTTAATAATTAGAAGAAATATTCAAAAATTGCTAACAATCAGGGAGTTTAAAATATCCTAAAATAAATTTCATAAGATAAATTTATTGTAAAATTGCATTTACATTTAAAATGTAAGTAACTTTTTAATTGTAATTTTAATCATTAGAATTATATAGTTGAGCTATTCAAGTATTTAAATGTATAGAAATTGATAAATACTAGAAAATAGTTGAATTTATTTTTGTTAGCCCCGGCTAGGAACCCCTGCAAATTGTGTTTGTTTAGCCGGGGCCGGGTTTGCAAAAACCTCTGTTTTTAGCCAGGGCCGGGCCAGTTTCTCCCACTTCAAGACCATAGAGTGACTTATTCAACTTTTAAATTAATTCACCATTAGCTTGTTCATAGCCAGGTGGTTGCGACACATAAATTTCACATTCTATTGGAGCATGTAAATATGCACTTTTTGCATCCATTTGGTGTATGATTAGATTTTTATGTACAAAATTAGGTTTGTTCAGGAAGCGGGAGTGATTGCTCTCGTATACTGACCATGGAATTTATATTTAGTTGCGAAAAACTGGCCAGGTTTTTTAGTCGTTTTGAGAACATTTAAGTTTATGTAAAAAAAAAAAAAATTATTTTACGGACATACATGGAAACCTAAAAAATTTGAATGTTCTCAAAACATCTTGGTGCGGAAGAATAAAAAAAGTATTTGCTAACACAAAAACCCGCCAAATTAACGAACAAACTAATTCTATTGGTTCAAAAAATACTCTAACTAAGCGAAATATTAATATAAATAAAGCGAAATAATATATAAATAAAGCGAAAGTTTTAGAGTATTCTGTTGAAATGTTTTAGAAATTGTATTATTCACGATTTGTTACATTTTGATATTTCTAACATAAATTGTTTTAAGAATATATTATCAATACTATGGCTCATTTGCGGAGCCACACCTTGCAGATGTGGCTCGTTCTCTCGCAATCTACACATCTACAAAGCTGTAAATCTTATAAACTATTACTATTTGTTTACAAAAATAAATGTTTAAAATATATGTTATTTAAATTGGCAAAATTTTGAAAGTTTATTATAAATTTTATTAATATATTGTAATTTTTTTATTTAAAAAGTATATATTTTTTATGTAAATATAATTTTGTGCATCTGTATTTTATTGTAATGTAATCTTTTAAAGCAATTTTTATGATTTAATTTGTAAACAAAGACTTACAAAAATAATTGCGTTTTCAATGAAGTTATAATCATTAAAGTTAATAAAACTAATTATAGAACAAACATATAAGAAGTTTCTGGTTACTAAACACAAACAACGCATACAAAGTAACTTGCGGATCAAGAAGCACCGCGCCTGAGGTCACGACAGAACACAAATATATATAGCAAATTATTAGATATAAAGAAAAGTTTTTAGATATTGGTTTACTAACTCTAATTATTTGTGCTTAAGTTGTCATTCTTAAAACTCGTAATACTTTTCTCTGCTTTAAATACTAATTAAAATTAAAAAGCCCCACCAAGCCTGTATCCCCAAATAAACTCTGGGTTCTTCTTTGTCATACCAATATCTTCTACAATTCTAATTGGCCTGCAGTTTGTAGATAACCACTTTGCGATAGCATTTGTTATCTTGTCTTTCTCTTGTTTCTCTTAAGTTCTTCCACGTGCTGCATCTAATGTAATCTTACTAATCCTTCCTTCACTGTTTACTTGGGTAGGTGATTTGCTGGCATCAGCATTGTGCATTGAATTAAAGTGATACTTTAGACTTGAAGTACTCTGATTATAAAAAAATTCAGCTTAGCAGTGTTAACAAATAGTTTTAGTTCTATCAACTTCTTGTTGAAGAGGTTAAAAATAAAAATTTCCATTTATAATTTATACCTTTTTTCCAACACAACTTTACATTAAATTTGTTTATTTATTTCTTGTCTGAACATAAGCAATAACTTCACTCAAAAGTAATATAAATTAATAATAAGAAGCAATAATATGCAAAAAATATATAATTAGAAACGAAAACTTTGTAATAGCAGCTTCACAAAAAGAAAAATAAGTAAATCTTGTGAAGCTTAAAAAAAAAATAAGCACCTTTAAATCATGACAAGCTCATTGTAAAAACTAAAAAGTTAAAAGAAAAATTTAGCAAAAGCATTTGCGAAAAAATATAATTTTTTACCATACTAAAAGTTCGAGATTTTTATTATTCAAATTTAATAGTTCTGTAAACTAATAATTGACAGCTGTGTTTTGGAATTTGGTTTTGAAATAATACTTGTGCAGCTCTTTTGATCTTTAGTTTAATGAAATATTACATTTAAATTAAAAAGTTTATTTTTTACTATCGAACTTTCAAAATAAAAAATATGTTAATGCAAAATAAGCTAATTGTCGGCGTTAATTAATGCTTTAAAGCGATAAAAATGTGTTAATTAGCTGAAACTATTTTAAAAGAAATTGTTTTAAAATTTTTTTAAAATAATTCCTTAGCATTAAAAAATTATGGCCTCAAAAAATCTGTAACCTCAAATTATAAGGGTTCAAATTTTACATGGTCATAATTTTTGTTACAAGATTATAATTTAAAGTTTATTAATAAATATTATATATGAATAATATTCAGTTAAAAATAGAAAAAAAAATT